CTATCATTGGTTCAATTGTAGTTGACAGACGTGTTGGACGGTGCAGGACTTAATGTAGACATGGATGACTTTTTATTTATTCCAGCTGACAAAGAAAAGTTGGAAACAATTTTGTAAAATTCAAACAATTTTTTTCTGTCAACTACAGAACATTGGCTAACTATCTTAGCTTGGCGGTGGTGAAATACTGAACACTTGAGATACTGCTAATCTCAGTGAGTGCTGCTGTTCCGTGACTTGTTCAAGTGCTGGAAACCAACATGCTTGTTCTGATGTAAATGATACTCTTCAGCTCCAGCCATTTCTCATTTCTGTTTGTCCAACAATATAAAACACATGCATATTCTGTGCAAAAGTGAACTCCCTCAAAACACTAGTAGAAATTTTTAATAAACTGATGATACAATAAGAGAAGAAGATCAGTGCTTATGAACTTATAGGATACTATGGAATACAAAACTATAATGATCCCACTGGGAGGGATAGATCATGGCAGCAACAAAAGTAGCATAAAGTATGGAAACAATAAAAAACAATCATGTCTCCATGACATCTATCATCATCCCTTTCTTAATCTGAGTAAGAGCCTGAGCTCTCAAACTGTAGCGTGATATTATATGGGTGTTATCTACTGCAGTAATGAGCCCTGCAGGGTGTTTAACCCAGAACAACATGCCAATCAAGTGAATAGATGGTTTATAGTTCAGTGGAGCCCATCAGTCCTGTCAGAGTTGGACTCCACAGCTGAGAGTGTTTAGAGAAAGCGGGTTCAGAAAGCAGCAGAAAACTAAATCTCATCATCATAAACCTGCTGTAACAGCCAGCACAGACAATACAGAAACAATTCATACAGACTCATACATAAACATGCAGGCTCACACACAACACTCAGATCTTGGTACGAACCATGTATATTTGGCTTGGCACAGCTGAAATCTGACCTCCAGCGAAGACAGAATAAGAACAGAACAATAGAGATGTAGAAATCGATCTGATTCACCCTCATCGCTGTGAAAACCACAGTGGAGGAGCAGGAGACCTGCGGCCAGCAAGGTCTTTGTTTAGACGGTTAGAGCAGCAAGGGTTTACTTCTGCACAACACCGCAAAACCCTCTGAGACAGAGACATTTACATTTTAGGCGTTTAGCAAACAGTCTTATCTACAGCAAGGCACACTGAGTGCAGCAGAGGAAGACGAGGCTGAGAAGATTGTCAACACTAAAAGCAACCAAGTGCAAGAAGCGGAAAGAGTCAGAGCCATAATGCACTGTTGTCCAAACAAATTTAATAAAAGATAGTTTCTATTTAGACAAATAAATCATCTTAAGAAATTGTTCAATATTTCTTAAATATTATTGTTAGACTGTTTTTAAACATCAAAGGATCCTTTTCATAAAACTCCTGCCGCATGTTAAGTGCCACCGTAATTTAAGTACCATAAGTACCATAATTTGCTTCACTGTTTTGATAGAAACTAAGCCCACTTTCTTTGGGAAGGTGTGAATTTTTCCAAATGGTTCAAGTGTCATTTTCAATCAAAACTCTATAAATGTTACTTTTTCCCAGATTATTTGAACATGAGAGAATAGTGCCAGGTGAAGAAATAAGAGAAGAAAAGCAGAAACTATTGGAAAATGTCAAGCCTGTAAGGATGATGTGGGTAGAGGTTAGACTGACCAGGTCTGGGTCAAATACAGTTTAAAAACTTCAATTGTCCAATCATATTTTGGCATACCGTAACGGCAGACCTGTCAAACTTGGGATTTCTCCATGTATAATAAAAACAATATGCCTCTCCAAAACCACCAGAGCTAAAGTGTAAGAAATTGATTAAACAGCGTCCTTAAATAAAACGTAATTGTTAGCACGTCCAGCTAACTACCTTATTACTGTACCTACGGTTGTAACCAAACAGTACTTCCAAGGCTAAGTAGTACATCATTAACTAACTACAGTCCCAGTTCAGGACCAGCACTGTGATAGTGCTTTGACTGTATGGACACAAGCTATAGATGAGTTCACAGTTGATGGTTGCCAACAAGAAATGAGAAGCCTGCTATTGTCTATTCCAGTACCCATTGTTTCAAAAGTTAGGCCACTAAGAATTTGAAACTGCTTATATGCCTTGCAGTGTACAGCTGGACAGGCAAAGCAACATTCAGTGGAGTAGGGCTTACAGACAGTTTCAGTAAACCGCTTTTGTGAAAATGGCCTCAGTAGTAAAGAACAATCGAGACATCCATCGAGTCAAACTACAACTTAAATTTTCAGTCTGTCTGAAAAGATGGAAATATGTAGTGGCTGCTTCCTCAGCCCTGTCTGGACAACATACTGCTCTCATTGAAACTGAACTGAAAGTAATATTTATGTACAGACACAATGGATAAATCTAGTCGCCCCCGAAATTATTTGCTAAATCAATTTGATCCAGGTCTGTGCTGAACTGCCTTGAGAAATAGGGGAAGGAAAGTACAACCTCATCTAATCCACCTCCTCCAGCACCACACATTTCTTGTAGAGCCAGAAATTAAACATGACGCAGAGCCTGTTACAGTCTAACCTTGACAGTAAACAGATCAGATGGTCTGGCCTCACACCAGACCTGGTGCCTCATTTATTAAAACATCTTCTTACGCCAACAACCAAATCCAAGCCTGAGTTTGGCTTCAGAAGAAAGTTATCTAAATGTCAAAATGAGTGATTGTCATTGATTTTCTCCTGTTGTGTACGATGTATCATGAGCAAAGAGTCTTACAACCTGTCATAACGTCTGCATTGAATTCATTTATTTCTAGTGCTGTCAGTTAAACGCGTCATTAACGGCGTTAACACAAACCCATTTTCACGGCATCAATTTTTTTATCGCGAGATTAACTTTCTTTTTGGCCTAGCACACTTTGTAGTTTTTTTCACATGCTGTTGCAACAACTAGTAACGTTAGAAAAACTACAACACCACACCGGATCTAGCTAGACCGGAAACAAAACAACAGGCACACTGCACACACTTGTTTAAGAGTAGTAGAAGTTACATTTTGAGTGGATGGCGAGCGCAAGACGCCGAAATGGATGCCAATAATATTCTGAATGGAAAGTTTACTTTTAAAAAGTTGCCAAATGGTTCCATTGACAAGACCAAAGTGATCTTTGTGTTTTGTCGTTGTGAACTGAGCTATCATCGCAGCACGTCCAGTCTGAAATACCACTTGATGGCCAAACACACAGCTGATGTGAATTCCCCCCCCCCACCGTCAAAGCCAGGCGACAATGGATGATTTTTCAATAAAAACATTTGCACAAAGCAAGCCAATCCGCTTTTCCATGTTGATAAGAGCATTAAAAATGTCATTAAAATGAAATTAAAAAATAATGGGACAAAAAGAAATCAAGGGACATTTAGAATAGATAAAAATGTGCGATTAATTGTGATTAATTGTGGGTTAACTATGACATTAATGCAATTAATCGCGATTAAATATCTTAATTGTTTGACAGCACTATTTATTTCCCTTCAATCTATATGTTTCAGGATGCTCATACGATATGATATGAAAGGATATTTTCATAGATTAGACCCCTGGAGATGGTATGTAATAGAGAAAGAAGAGCAAGAAAGAAACTAATTTCATCAAGAAATATTTAATACCTTTCAAAACCTGCCACATATCACCCTCTTTGTTGCCTTTTTGTAGTATATAAATGACAAAAAACACTACTCTATTCACTGAGGATTCAATAGTTAAACCAAATTTGGTGTTGGTAATCACTCTAAGGAGTCTGTAGTCCCTGGCTTCCTCTAATAAAAATAACTAATCCCATCCTCTCCTGTCAGACTACTTCTACATTTTAGGTTATGATGCAGGCCTGACTCCCTCAGGGGGGATGCCTTCCCTAAATGTTTTAGCTCTGGACTCAAGCTTTGAGAGAGAAAGTTCAAGTTCAGATTCTGTTGTACTGTCACAGAGCCAGGCTGGTGGAATTCACTTCAGTGCAGAAGAAAATTGCAGCTCAGTGTTAAGTAAAAATGGCTCATCTTGACTTGTTACAGATCGCCTCCAGATTATTATTAAGACATATAGAAATGGTTTAAATGGTCAAAAATGCTTCGAACAATAATCTGTGTTTGATATGATTTTGTTGTTGTTGTTGTTGCAAAAAAGTAATTACCACATGGAAATCCTTAAAAAGTGAATCTACTCTTTCTACCTCATTAAGAATTTCATAATCTCTGAATATTCAAATTACGTTAATTTCTAAAGTGTTCCTGCTGGACACAAGATGTCTCCTACTTCACTGCAAAGTCCCTTCTCAGTGGATGTGTCTGGTGGCTTCAAGTTCCTACATCACACTGTACAAGTTGCATACTGGATCAGGATTGGTGATACTAAAAATGTCACAAATCATGCTAGTAGGCCCTGCCCCTTAAAATCTGATTTTCAGTGAGCACAGAGAAACTTTCTACTTTCAGCAGATGAATGTGAAAACATCCTACTAGTGTCAAACTCTGCACATACATCATTATGCACAGTGAAGATCAAACATCACACTAAAGGAACAAGAAGAAAAACTGATGTTTGAGTGGAGGGGGACTTTAAAGGGATTGACAGCATCTTCAGTGAAGATCATCATTCAGTCCCTGAGTGATGATCTTCAGGAAATGGTTATTTTTCTCTCCCAAGTGGATATATAGTTTCCAAAAGGGGATGTACTATGTGGAGTTCTGGAAATGACACGGCGGGGTGGTTTAGTGGTTACAGTAACCGTTCCATAGCCCCAGAAAGTTTTAACCCTGCCTACAGACATCAGCAGCCGCATGGGCTGTCAAAGTGTCCTTGAGCAAAACACTGTTCTGGGAAAGACAGACAGCTGAATACCAAAATATAAATGTATAATGTACTGTAAGTCTCTATTGTTTCACTCAGTGGCTCAGGTTTAATAGATCTGAGGTGAACTAGTGGATTCATCAGCTGCGAGCCAATAAAGGACACTTGAGACTCTTACCTGAAACAAGTGCTGTTCTTCCCCCCAGCTCTGACACAGGGATACTCCACGGTCAAGATCTTATTATCTGGACACTCCGTTCTGAGAAGATAAAGACACATAGACACAAATGTGATTGACTGGCACTTTTTACACTGTTTCCCAGAAGTTATATATACACATTCATATAACAAGGGGAGAGAGAGATTGAGAAGGACATGCAAGAAAGATCCGAGGCTGGACGTAAACAGGGGATGTTGCGGTTCATGGTCGACACCTTAACCCATTGGCCACCAGGCCTTCCCCAGATTCATAGTTTTAAACAGTTACCATCTGGTAGCTGCAGTGTATAAAGGGGTTAAACCTCAACAGTGCTTTGACACGAATGGCTACGTACATGGCATTACACTAGAGCCCGACCGATACTGGAGTTTTGAGGCCAATACAACATTACTATTTCAGAGGTAAAAAAAAATCAGAAAACAATATATCAACCATTGGTCTTTTTTTAACAGAAACACATCAGAGCTGCAACAATCAGTCAATGAATCAGGCAGTCCATGGAAAAACTGTTTTGATAAATGACTGATAGTTTCTTGCATCTTCTTTTTTCTTTTTTCAAAGATGCCAAACATTTTGTTTTTCTAAATTGAACATCATAAAATTAGTGTGGGTTTTATACAGTTTGTTTTGATGACTTCATCTTGGCCTCTGCAAACACGTCAACAAGCAAAATAATCTCCAGATTAATCAATATGAATACAATCAAGAAAAATAAACTGAGTGAAACATTTTACAGTCAAAACATGCCAGTGCTCTCTGTGGAACAAAGACACAAGTTAATAAATGAAACCAAACACATTTTTGGCACTTCAGCACTGTGTTATTTATTGGCTGACAAATGTGAGGATATATCTGCGATAAACTAAAACTGCCCGATATATTGGCCAGGCTGATTTATTGGTGTATCTTTTATAAGCTTAACTTTACAGCCAGGGGCAATATCACATTGTAGTCATACACAGTATACTTGGTTTCAACTAGGCATTAACACAGCTACTGTATGTGTTTATAGAAAGTTTAAATCACGGTAGTAGATGTTTGTATCCCATTTTAACAGATTCTGATGAGTTTGCAGAACCTTCAAAGCATAAATCTGAGGATATGTTTCCTAATACTTTTAGACAAGGTGGAGAGCATATACATAAAAAAAAAAAAAAAAAAACACTGTTGGCTTATCTGGGGTTTAACCTGCTGCTTAGTGGTTCCCTCCTCCCCGCAGAATATTGGGTACATGTGCTCCACTCACATCCTCTCCTCACCTCCTGACCCACTGTCTCCGGGCACCTTAATAGCATCTGTCATGTTATGTCTGAGCACAAGTAACATTTGGTTCTCCTCACCGCGACCGATTCCGACCATTTGGAGTTTCCCCTTTGCCTTTTGCATTTCCTTGAAAATCACATTAGATTAGACGCTCTACGGCGGTTCATCCAAGGGTCTCCTCTTTGACAGCCTGCTGAAGAAACCAATAAAACACAGACTAAACTGTATTATGGTTTTTGCATGGTGTAATAATCTGACAGTAGAGTATTTGTTTTGAGTTTAAATTAAATTCCGAAACAAACTAAAGTGATTGGACAGTGGAGTGGATGTTGCCAAGTCGTTTACAGAGCTTTAGTCTCGCATTAATATTAAAAATCACTGTAGCTCATCAATAAAGTGTTATTCAGACGCTGTTCAGGTTGAAAAACTTCGTGGAGTGTTGCGTCATAATGAAAACATCCCTGATTAAGCTAATCGATGGGGTTGACATCAGCACGCTGCCGTTCATTCACAGAAAATCAAGATATGTTTAGGATCCTCTAACCAGGTCCATGAGACTCACCTCGAGGTGTCCACTGCAAGCGTCGTCCTGATAGAGCTGGCACCAGATTCACACAGGAAAACAACACAGATAGCGCCAAATGGTAAGAGAGTCGCACCATAAAGTTGACCCATGTCCCCTCTGCGCTCCGGGACAGATGATCTGTTCAAGTGAAACAGCAAAACGCCAATGTTATCATCTGTCAGATACCCGCGCGGGTAGTAGTATCAAAATATCAGAAATCCTTGTCAAGTATCCCGCAGAGGTGACGCACATGGAGCCTGTGGGATAGTAAGTGCTGCGCTGTGCGTCCGGAGCCCCGTCTCAACTTTACGCACTGAGGCAGAGACCCCTTGGAGAGCTACTGAAGGGTTTACAGCCCAGTGTGCTCTCACTAATCCCTCTGGATTTACATTCCTGCCTTTAAAGAAGAGACTTCATGTAACAGAGTATACAACTGCACAGCCCATTGGTAGTGATGACACATAGCATAATACTTCTTCTACTACTACTGCTACTACTACCAATAATAATAATAGTTAAATAATCCCACAATTACCCAAAGCTAATACTGCGGCTATTTTAAAAATAATTGAGTAATTGTGTTTCACAACATCAGGGTGGCATTGGGGGCAAAAGGATGTGCTGACTAATGACAAATGCACAGGATGCCAGAAAGACTCTGTGGATAACTGAACAATTTTACCTGTAAGGCACATTCAGTGAAGCACACAAAGCATTTTACTTAATACACTGACAACAACAAACAAAGACAAAACTACAAACGGAATGAAAAACATCAAGAACATTTGAGAGTGAAATAAAAACATACATACAATTGGCCAAGATAATAAAAAGAAAACACATGCATTTTTGGCTTTAATGTAAAAATATATTTAATTGTTGAGGCAAGTCCCAGATAAGTTCCAAATATGTGCAGCAGAGCAGCTAAAATAGGTTTCACCATGTTTGGATTTAATTTTGGGAACAACCAGACCAGTCCTAGCTTTAGTGTGTCCATGCTCTAGCAGAGGATCCAAGATGCATTTTGATACCAAACCACTTAGTGATTTAGATTTAGCAGTTATTCAAAATTAGTTCTTTGACAGACTAGAACTCAGGGCAGAGATTGGACAATTGGTTCGATGTGGTCTTTGTTAGGAAGCTGAATAAGCTGGGAGCAGTTTTAGAAAGAATAGAGAAAAACTTATTTCAAGTATTCTAGTAATGAAAACAATGATTAACTCTTCTAAATCTTATTTGACAGTTGTTTACATTTAGATCTGATTCCATTACAATTCAGTGACAGAGAGTTAAGGTGAGGTTTTATCCATTTTTACTGTATGTGCATAAGGCGATCTGAGACAATACTGATTTAATGATACAGACATATAAATGTGAGTGTCATCTGCATATTTATGATGTGGAAATTCATTTTCTTTGTTGATATTTTGTGGAAACAGCAATCAGCAGGTTCCAAGCAGCCTCAGGGCCACCGTGCAATTTATTTCTTATGTCCCAACTGCACTGCATATGTGAGGAAGATTGGAACAATTTGTCTCTGATCTTTGCAAAATGTAGAAAAGAGCGGTCTGTTTGTTATAGCAAATATAACAAAAAAGAAATATATATATCTGGCCTCGGATGCGACAAACTCAGTGTTGGGGCCACTTGTTGGCAAAATACTATTGCAAGCACAAGATCCAGGATAGGATCCTTTTGGCTAGTTTGATTGTTTCATAATGCAAGTCCTTGCAAAAGTTTCAAAATAAACAAGATAAAACTTATGAAAACATACTCATCTGTCAACTTTGGTTTGGGAAATAGGGAATGAGGTGGAGGGAGGAGGATTTTAAAAAGAAGAAAGGAAAAGGGATTAAAAAATAACCTCCATGAAGAGGTCAGTTTTCTGTGCATAATAATTTCCTGCTCATTATTCATGTTTTTTTCAAACTTGCAATCACAGCCTGATTACTTGAAGTTGGTCACGCTCTTTTAAAGTTTGACTGCACATAGTGCTATCTGATTAACCCAGCACACAGAGTTTGTGTTTTCACATTACTATGATGAATTGCAATATGCACATTAACATCTAGAATCAAGGACCTTAATGAACTCATGCAAGCCCTGTTAACTGTACATTTTAATTTATTTTTATTTGCACTGAAAGAATATTCTTAATTTCTTTCACAAGTCTTTTGTATTGCTGTTAAATGCAAATCTCTTTATCTGTAAAGCAGAGCCTGAGTAATTGAATGAAACCAGAGTCAAACTGTATAGTATTGCTCAACATTGTGTGCTTACAGAACCTGATAAGAAAAAATAACTATAGTAATCCTACAATACATTTTGGTGGCATATTATCACTAGTGCAATATGTGAATAAAACACTGTAGGGCATCACGTTATCCCTGGATGTGATATAAATGCAGTTGCAGTGAGTTTTATTAAGGGTGACTTTGCCAGTTTCACTATTTGAGGTTTTGTGGGCGGTTTCTCATGATTAAAGAAAAAATAAAAGGTTATCCAATTGTTGTGAGAGTGAGATCTGACCAATAGTCACCTCAGTGGAGAGCACGGTGCAGTGGCCAGTGGACAGTCAGGCGATGTTAGGTAACTCTGTACTCAGTGGTCTCTTACACCGTCTATTCCCACTGGTGCATGGGGTTCTTGGCCACCGTTCAATAGAAACAGCTGGTTTTATTCACCACAAATGAATCATGTTAGAAATACACATGCACTCACTTACACACATGCTGTATACATGCATGAACACAGTAACTGGGTCTAGCACATCAAATTAAACTGCACAGTCTCCTCTGGCTCCATTCCCTACAGAATCAAATAAATTCATAAAATATATAAAGCAACATTATTAAAGAACCGCAGCAAAAGGCGGCTGTTGAAATGTCAGTCTCTGCTTCATAATTACGACCACACAGGCCATGGTTTCTCTTTTCCCACGAAGGAGAGTCTCCTTTCTCGGTTTACTTTGGTTGTGGTTTTTATTTGGTGTTTGTCTATCTGCATATAAGCAGGCTGGAAGAAATGTGTTTTTCATTGAGGGCTGGGGCTACAATCTGCATCGTTACCAACTTCTTGTCATTCATGGATAAAACTGCCTTACTGTGAAACACATAAAAAGCAAAGACATTCATCCATAACTTCCCAGAAGTGTTAGAGGGGAGTTTGAACTTGTGGCATAAAATGGGCAAAGCTTGTTTGATCATCACATTTAGCCACTGTGAATGTGGTGCATTTACCACTGACTACATAGCATGGCTTTAAATGTATCATTGAATGATTATGTTTACATGCACATCAATCAACTAATTACTACTAATCAGCTAACGTAATAACTCAATTTCCCAGTACTACACTGTTTATACTGATCTGATGAAGGTATACATGTACGCCAGTTACTGAAACACTGAGCAGAAATGTGGAAGTCTAAATGCACTTATCCTGATTGGGACCTTAATTAGGATGATACTGTTGAAATAAAGCCATTTTCTAGAGTATTCCTCCAAACATGTTCTTACACAATGTTCTTTACACAGCCTTAGCGTGATGACTTACTGAGTGCGGCAGAAAAAAACAAGCAAATTGCTTTGCAATGCATTTTAGTATTCCAGGCTGCACCACACTGACCAGTGGTGCGAAAAAAGAAAAAGGGGGGTCAAAAGTGGAAGTATTTGATGAGTGTAAAGTTTGCTTCATGAGTCCAAAAAAACGTTAGATTGGAGTTTAAGGAAAGACAAAGAGATTCAGCAATGGTACAGGTAGTTTTGTCTCTGTAAATACTGTTTAGCACAAAGTCATATAAATTGTTAGAGAAAGTCTTGGTTGTTTTCTATAATGTCTGCTGATGAGCAGGCTACTCAATGCAATTTGTTTCTTCACCGTCAGACGACAAACTTTTAATGATTAGGAAAAGTGCCAATTTGGTGTGTATACCTAAAGGCAAAAACAACAAAAATCAGTTCAGACCAGTTTATACTACCTGAATTACAGACAAATGTCTAGGAAAGTGTGCCCTAAATGGAAATAAGATCTCACCTGTTTAGCTGTTAAAAATCAACCAACAGACATGCTGAACTGTTTCGATTAAAGCCTGCCAGTCCTTCATAAATGCACTGATACCAGCAAGGCATTCGAAAGAGCCTCCCTCAGATCACGTTTTTGAGATATAATCTTAGACTTTGAAGTACCTTCATTGGAGAACTTTATTAGTTTTAAGCAACAGCATACCTTAACTGGACTCAAATGACATCAGGAGTACTTCAAGGATGTGTGTTGTCTCCATTCTTATTTTTGCCATAGATTAACCTTAAGACCACAGTCCTTCACGATACCATCTTTGCTGGGTATGCGAAAGACATTAGACTCTCTAGAGGCCTTGTTTCCTAACTCTCTTCTTTCAGACAAGCCCATGCAAGTGGAGGTTCATCATCTGAACATGTGAAAGGGTATGACCCTGAATGGCAGGAGGAGGTAGTAGTTACAAATTCCTTGGGCTAGAAACATGTTGTTGTATCTGGGTGAAGAGGCCAAGTTTATGGCTCCAATTACTCTTTCTTACTAGAAAAAAGTCACATGGTGAAGAGGCATCAAAGCTCCTTCATCAGTTTAGAGTACAGTGGATGACCTACTGCTTGTTTTGGAGCAAGTTTAGATAATCATATAGTGTACTGCTCCAAAGGAACGATGCTCCACACACTTCAGTCTTTGACCTTTGACTTTGATAAGCTTGAAGTATGATGTCTCTCTCCTTTTTAAAAGTTGTATGGTTTTAGTCTTACATATGTGTAGGGTAGACTTACAATGCAATGTACATTACATACACTACAACCATCACTTCTTTCGAATTTTGTGCTGTTTTATGAGTCGTTTACCCTCTAATAAAGTAAGAAAAAAGTCTTATACACTGCAAACATTACACATTGTTAAGAGATATAACACCAAATATACAGTGAAACACCTGCATAACAAAACTGAAATAAAGACATCTTTGTAATCTAACACACCAAAGTAAAAGCTTATCACTAATTCTATTTCTTCATAATGTTTTTTTTCCCTTACAGTCCAACATTATATGCACACTGGACAAGTAACATTTTCCAGTCTCTATTTTGGCAAAATATTAAAATCTCCCTTGCCTGATAAACGTAACACAAGTATCATGACCTCATGTCACAGAGCAGCACAGAGATAACTTATTTTTACTCAGAAGACAAATGGATCTCTGTTACCTCTCTTCATCAGTGTGATTTATTCATAATTGTAGTCTCCCACTGCCATTAGTAACACTCCCACCGAACACTGCTTGTCAATAAAATACTGACAAGGTGATGTATGAAGCAAACCTGGCTTGGTTTTCATGTCTTCCAGTTGAATTCATTGCTGCAGTTCTGTTTTTGTTGTAGCTGTGTTGCT